AACACAACAACAACAACAACAACAACAACAACAACAACAACAACAACAACAACAACAACAACAACAACAACATCAACATCAACATCAACAACAACAACAACAACAACAACAACGGCAACGACGACTATCACACCACCAACAACAACTGCTACAATAACAACACCACCAACACCACCAACAACAGCAAACACAACCCCTGAACGAACGCGCAATTCAACCTTGACGTCACAGAGCAAGGTACCTGGTGTCAAAAACCAAAGGAATGTCTCCTGCCATCGGCATAGCGGCACAGCGCATGGCTCGATGAAAACATCGATCATGTCTGGGCTCCTTCAATGACCGTGAGTGACCGCCCATGACCGCGAATATGGACGCACACGCGCGCATGATTTCGCATTCGTGCGCGTTTGCATGCTAATAGCTGGGTGTGTAATTAAAGACGGCAAGGTAACGGGATATCGACATCCATACCGCACACCCCGCAAAGCGGAAACTTTGGCTGCTATGGTGCGTCGCGTAACGTTAAACATGTTTTTGTTCGTCGGGCCCGGCCCTACTCCGTAAGGGTGGACAGCCTAAACAATGTCTGTCAACATGATGTTCAAGTGCGGTGGCGTTTGGCTGGCTAGCCAAACGTCGCTGGAAACATATGGCCATGTTTAGTCCCATATGAGATCCTCGCCGTGCCCACATGAGATGCTGATATACTCGCAGTCAGGCTGGTCAGGATGGTATACTCGTCGTGCACAGATGAAGTCCCATCCGATGTTTCTGTCATGCTTAAACTAAGCATGACAAAAACACATAATGGCGCCATTGTTCTAACAGAGCAATGGCGCCATTATGTGTTGAAGGACGGCGCTGAACAGAAATGAGCAGAGCACAAATCACCTGACTTCGTGCCTCGACGACGGCGGAAGAAACGACTGGTGGTTTCAGTTCGCACGGTGGCTTCCTGTCCATGAAAGAGACGGTGCTTGAGATGCACGTACAATGGAAGCCCTTGCACAAGGAACCTGCGACAAGAAAGCCAACCCTGACTCCAGGACGTCCATGGACTTTTCGTGTGGGAACGTCACGCCTTCCACAGCAAAGCTATCGAAACCCAAGACGCCCAGGTCACCCTGGAGGCAACCAGGGTGCTTCTTGGCATGGGCCTCTACATTAGCCCGGCTCAACACCTTATGCGCGCAGAGCGGACCACAAACTTTCGTACTCGAGGGATTCGAAGGGGACTCCTGAACGCTTTTGTGAAGAACCCACAACGGTTGGATTCACTCCCGAACACGTTCGCGAAGAATGTTGAAGATAAAAAAGATGGTCAAATGTCGAGTGTCCTGGTCGAAATCCGGCCAGGTCGTGTAGCTGATCTTGACCAAAAACGGGCTGAAATCGATTATCGGAAGAAGGCGATCCCCCCGCGGCCAGCGGCGTTGTGGAGCCCAAGGGCTGGGCCTGGGGTTAGACAGCAACTCACGGCAGCTTTTGGTCGTCCCCATCGCGCCCAATAGCGCGTCCAATAGCGCGCAAAGCGGACGCAATGCATCTCTCCCACATGGCGTCATTGGGCGCTGCTGAGCGCTATTCAACGCTAATTGGCGCTTTTGAAAACTATGGGGCGCTCTTCGCCGATGTGCATTCCATTCAAGACGACCGGAACTTTATGTGATTTACTATCTGGCTGGGGGGCCTCGAGGGGGAGGGGGGGGGACGGACGGGGGCCCTGGGCCAAGGAGCTGTGAGGGGCCCAAGGGCTCGTCCAAGCCCCAGCGATGGCGCTGGGTCTGGAAGGTGGCCAAAAAGAGGTGTAGCAGAATCGCGCCGATGGGGGGCTGCCGCCTTGTATGAGATCGACACATGTTTCAACATCCAGAGCACAAGGTCTCCCTCCTGTCCACATGTTAGGGGGTCGTGGGTGCTCTGAATGGTTGAGGGGGACGGAGAGTGAGAACAACGAACCGATGGGAAGGCGGACGGAGGAACAGAGGGAGAAGAATACGGAAGGAGGGAGAGGTGGAGGGGGCGAAGGAGCGAGGAGAATGACGAGGTCGGAGGGGGGAGCAAGGATGATGAGGATGAAGAGAAAGCCCATCGTCATCGAGGGGGTTGCGGAAGAGAAAGGGAGGCAGGAGTGAAAGGGGAGGGGGGAAAGACGTGGAGAAAGGGGGCTCGGAGAACTTGGGGGAACACCTGATCTGACACGTGCCTCTTCCCGCTGCTTCTGCGGGAACAAATGGCACCGCTCCCTGGACCTCTCCCGGGGTGCGTTCTGCCCAGAACTTCGAGGCGACTCCAGTGGTAGCGACGAGGACCTCCCAGGAGGCCCCAAACGGCGAAGACGAGGCAAGGGTAGCGGTATCGGTTTTTGCTTCTCCACTGAGCTCCCCCAGGCCAGGGAACCAATACGCGATCCCGATGGGGAGGCCGATGTGCGTCCCCAACAAATACCAGTGAGTCTCCAGGGAGCTCCTGGCTGGCCGGCTACCCAGCAACGGGGCGG